CACCTGACGCCTATTCCCTGTACTGCTACCCCTGCACATGGGGTGACTGCAAGGCTGGGGAGGCCCCCGGGCGCCCGCTGCCCCCTGCCACGCTGCCCCCCACAACCCAGACCTCTTGGTCGGACCCCTGGGCATATGCTGAGGCAGGCACTGGGGTGGGCAGCAGCTGCTCAACCCCGCTGCCAGGAGCTGAGCCCCCCTTGAAGCCCTACCGCAGCTGCCCCCGCCTCAAGCCCCTGCACCCCCAGAAGCGCTTTGCTCCCTTTGGGGCGCTCAACCCCTTTGCTGGCCCAGCTGAATGGCCAGAGAGCCCTGAGTGGCCCAAGCCTCCTTCAGCCCCAGCTGCCCCATCCTCCTCCTCCTCGCCAGAGCCCTTCGCCCCCATCGAGGAGCCAGTGCCTCCCCCTCGCCCACCCAAGGGCTTCGATGGGGACAGCACTGTCATCCATGGGGCAGCCCCGCTCTCTCCTGCTGTCCTGCGTGGGGTTGAGGGTGGCGTCACCCGCCTCTACCTGGCTCAAGGTGTCATCGAGGTGCCACCAGCAGCGCGGGGTGATGGGGGGGCCCCTCTGGCTGCTCCCCGGCCCGGTGGGGACAGCTCACCCTGGCTGCCCCCTGCCGACCTCTCGGCCCTCTCGCTGGAGGAGGTGTCCAAGTGCCTGCGCTTCATCGGCCTCTCCGAGGACGTGGTCAGCTTCTTCGCCCGCGAGCGCATCGATGGCAGCATCTTCGTGCAGCTCAGTGAGGAGATCCTGGCCGACGACTTCCACCTCACCAAGCTCCAGGTGAAGAAGATCATGCAGTTCATCAAGGGCTGGCGTCCCAAGATCTAGGGGGATGCTGGGGACACACTGAGCAGCCACCCACACCATGGGTCTTGATGTCCCCACTCCTGTCCCCTGCCCCACTCCAGGGCTGTGGGTTCTTCTCCTCAGCTACTTGGCCCCACCACCCAGCCCTCCCCCCTTTCTGTTTTAACACTGGACAGTAATTTTGGCCCAAATGGGCTGGAAAATACTGGAGTTTGCATTGACTGGTTTAACTTAATCCTTGTGGATTAGTGTAATAAAGGTAAGGGAGAAAAACGAGCCACCAGAGAAGGCCCTTGCTTGGGGAGGAGAGGGAAAGGGGGTGTCAGTGGAGGGGAAGGAGGCTTTAAGGGTCTCTTCCATCCTTGCACACCCTGCCCATCTCTTGGGAAGGGATCTGAGATCCCCCTGCATGGGAAGATGGTGCTCTTGGAACTGCTCTGGGCTGCTTGCACCCCAGGGTGAGTTTAGGGGACTGAAGGGAAGCTCCCCTGCCTGATGGACACAGCTGACCCTGGGGAAGGGAGGCAGTGACCTACCCTCAAGGCTGCACCCCCAGCCAAAAGCACCCCACTCTCTCAAGGGCCCATGGCAAGATACTGCCAGTCCTGACTTCAGCCCCATGGCCACAGTTTAGCCCCCACAAGCACAGCCCTCCATGGGGCTGCAACCCAGGCCCTGCTCCCAGAGCCAGGGAGCAGGTCCCAGGGGTTGCAGCCCCCCTGGTTACCAGCTCCACAGGCAGCCCTGTGCCTCCCCCAGCAGGCAGCAGAGACAGGAGATGATGTCTCAGCCCAATTTTGGGTCTTAGAGCTTTAGGAAACACATACGGGTGTGATATGAAGAGAGTGTGTTGACCCAGCTCCTGGCCCAAGCCCTGCCAGGATGCAGGAGAAAGGCTGGAGCTGGGGAGGCAGTGCATGGCATCACAGCAAGCCCAGGAAGGGGAGGCCAGGCCAGCTCTGAAATCAGTGACAGGTGCATGGAGATTTAAAGCCTTTTAGTTTAAACTGAGCTCTCCCCACGGGGGACCCTTCTGGTCTTTGGCTGCTCGATTTGCAATTACAGGCGGGTCCATCTGCCAGGATAACCCCAGCGGCAGTGCTCAGGGCCAGACAAAAGAGCCGGAGGCTCCTCACAGCTCCTGATTGATGACAGAGGTGACAGAGGCGGTCTTTGTTCTGCACT